TGTGAATAATTATTCATAGACACAGGGTCTTCTGGGGTGACGAAAAAAGTTTAAAATAGATAGGGGTCATGGGTGAACAGCAATCTGAATGCCCTAAATGTGACTGAGTTGCACATTTCTAGATGGTTTAACTCTGTTTTGCAAATTTGAGTTTAAAAAAAATGCAGCAAAAAAAAAATTTGTGGTGGTGGTATGTGACACAAGATTAACAAAAAACTAGTAGTTGCTGAAGCTTGAGTATGAGTATGTGAGGATTTTTTAAACTACTTTTTCTGCTTTTGTGGAAGTTGCATATACAAATTTCCATAATGAAAACTGAAAAGAGCAGTTATGCTTGCAAAACTGCAGCAGTGTGATATGAATTATCTATTTTCACAAACTTCCTTACTCTAAAAGTCTTAAAGCTAACCTTGCCTTGACAAACTGCTTATCTGTGCTAGTTTGCTTGGACAATGGAGGGAGGGAAAAAAGCCACGAAGTCTAAGGAAACATCTTTGTAGTTTTATTAGGTGAAAATCTGGATGTTAAATGGTGTGCTCTGGCCAGTAACTACTGAATGTCTACAAAAGTTCACCAAGAGAATGAAAACACGATGACCAGGAAGTTAACATACAGACGACATTTTGCAACGTAGCATCATGCTGAAATATGTTGCCCTCCCAACTATTGCAGTTTCTGTAACATTTTCAGAAATATGTATTAACATGCATACCACTAATGCTGCCACACTGAATATTTCCAGAGAATGTTGCTTGCATCACAGACCGTGTAAATGGCACTTTCTGCAAATGGACAGTCTGTTGAGCCATAAGTAACTGTCCCCATGCTATGTCAACTCATTCTCTTCATTCCCCTGGGATACTCAGTTGAAAGAAAAGTTATAAACAAACCAAACCTGAGTTTATGGGACTCAGATTGTGTCTGAATCTAATAGAGACACACAATAAAAAGTAAATATAAATGATTAGAGCCTTTAATCTCTAAGGGCTCAGAAGATGAGTCATTTAGAATAAAATAATTATTATTTCTTGTTTTCAGGAACAAGTGAGTAGCAAAAAAGGGGAAGTAGTGGTAGAATATTTATTTTAGGAAATGGACGATGAAAGGGAGCAGAGCTATCTATACCGTCTATAGATAAGAGTGTATATACAGTAGAAGTATGAAAAGTAGCAATGAGAAATATAGGCATATGTGTCATATGTGCATATGTATGTATGTGCACACATACCTATGTGCACTTTCACACATGCAAGTGCATATGGAGATGCATATTTTAATCATTCACAATACTAATTAACAAACTTGGAAATCTCTTGCAGTGAAAAATTATATGCAGAAATATTATATATATATATTATATATATATATAATGTTATATATGTAATCCTAGTTGTGTAACTGTTTAGCTTGTGCAATGAGGGTACAAGGTAAGAATTTAATCGTTACGGTGATCTCAGGTCCAAAGTTTTCAAATGGACTACCAACCATGATTTCAGGAAAATAAAATCTCAGAAAGCTCTTTACGAGGAGTACTGTAAGGAAGACAAGATGTAAAAGTACAAAACAATAAATATAGGTTCTTTGAAATGCATAACCATTAAAAGAGAAATGTGGAACCAAGTCAATAGCCATTAAGAATTAAATACAAAAAATAAACGCTCTGGGCCTCAGCTGTACAGGGCTCACCTTGGAAGCACAAGGTCCTGAGTTTGATTCCCAGAACACATACCCACAAAACTATCTTTAAGAGGGAAAAATTGAAAATTGCTGTTTTCCTAGCTGAAAAGTAACACAATGGCAAATCACACAATATAAGAGACATTCACAAACCAGAAGGCTACAGCTAACTATATGAGGTCCCCAAGCTATAGGAAGCTCAGAACTAATTAAAGGAATAAGAAATTAGAATAATTTCCACAGCATAATGGAGTCAGCAGGATTTCCCACTTGTATTTGAGCAAGAGAAATGTCCCCCTTTACTACTCTATCATCTATCTGCCTGCCTGCCTGCCTGTCTGTCTGTCTGTCTGTCTATCTATCCTAAGGAGAGAACCAAGGACTTTCCACACACTAGACAAGCGCTGTACCACTGAGCTCCATCCTCAGCCCCAAAGCATACTCTTAAAATTAGCATTTGAGGCTGAGGCAAAAGAATCATGAATTCAAAGCCAACCTAAGTCTCCTAGAGACCCTACTTCAAAAAAATCTCTAGACACATGCCTGTAATTCCAGCACTTGGGAGGCTGAGGCAGGAGAGTCACTGAGAGTTTGAGGCCAGCCTGGGCTACATAACGAGATCCTATCTCAAAACACAAGCAAACAAAAAAATCACTGGAAAAAATGAGCACACGTGGCTGGAATCTATCAAGAGCTCAAGACATAATGCTTGCCTGAATTAAAGTACACAAGCAAGGCTGGTCATGGTGGCACAAGCTTATAGTCTCAGCACCTTGGAGGCTGAAGCAGGAGGATCACTGTGAGCTCAAGGCCAGCCTGGCATATGTAGTGAGTTCAAGACTACTTTAACTATACAATGGGACTCTGTCACACACACAAAAATATATAGTAGACAACTAAGCAAGAAAAATGTTTTACTGGCAAACTAATTGCCTCAAGAAAATATTACAATTCAGCTCATATGCTTTAAATTTTTTACAGGACATCAAAATATCTATGGTAACATACAGTATTTAAAAGTTAGAATTATTTTATTTGATTTAGAAAAATATATATTAAGTTCAAGTATCTTGTATTTTTACATTGTCTTACAAAGTATGAGATAAGAAGCACTGTTTAAAAACAATACAGCTTTTGTGTCTTCTCATTGGATATTTTAACATTAGAAACAACTGTGTTGAGTAGGAATTTTGTACCATGTCATTGAATAAGTGTATACCAAATATCTACTGTGCCACGCATTAGTAGATACAGACCAGTGCTGTAGATACAGACAAAAAGCTCTCTTCACATAGAGTTTATGTTCTACTGTGGAGAACAAAAGTTAAACAAAATATAGGCAATAAGTGCTACTGGAGAGAGAACAAAATAGTGAAAAGGAAAAATAAGGAATCTAAAAGTAGGGGTAGATTGCGTTTAAACAGAGTATTCATGGAAGGCTTCACAAGGAAGGTGGCTTTTGAGCAAAAGCTGCAAGAAGGAAGGGAAGAGGGTGTGTGTCTGTCTGGGGTCACAGCCTTCCAGACAGAGGAGACAGCAAGTGCAAATGCCTGGAGGCTGAAGCATGCTTGGTCTAGTTGAGAAAGCTAGGCAGGTGGGGAGCCTGTGGTGAATGGGCCAGGGACAGAAGAAAGAAGAGATCACAAAGGTCATGGGTGGTGAAGGACTGGCACCATTGTAAGGATGCTGGCTTTTGCTGAATGAAATGACAGCCCGGAGAATTCTTTTTTCTTTTTTCTTTTTTTGTCTTTTTGAGACAGGGTCTCACTATGCATTCAGGCTGGCCTTGAGCTCAATTTGTAGCCCAGGCTGGTCTCGAACTTGCATTGATTCTCTTGCCTCAGGCTCCAAGTACTAGGATTATAGGCATGCACCATCAAGCCCGCAGGCAGGAAAGTTCTAAACAGACCACTATGCTCCTTCACTGCTGTGTTGTAGGCACACCAAAGGGGCCAAGGCTGCATGTAATGGTGGAGCCCATTCTCAGAAAGAAGTGATAGTCATCTCAAAAAGAGATGATGGTGCTTTGTCCCCTGGTGTTAATAGAGATCGTGAAACAGTCTTATTTTTTTTTTTAAAAAGAGCCTTTAGCCATTGTTGATGAACTTAATTCAGGATGTGAAACAGGTGTATTGGATTGCCCCAATATTTGGTATCCAATGGCCATTAACTGTGATGTGGAAGCCTCTGGAATGCTTTGTTTGAACATAATAAGCCTGAGATGCCCATAATAAAACCAGGGAGGATTACTGAGTAACTTGTTTTGGTCCAGCCCCCTGTGAGTATTGAACCCCTGAGGTATGGCTGATTTGAGTTGAGATATGGTGTAAGGATAAGATCCTCACTGAATTTCAAAGACTTCAGACAGAAAAAAAGAAAGTAAAATGTCTCAGTAGTTTTAATTCTGATCGCACATTGAAGTTATATTTGGATATATTGTGTGAAAAAATATATTACTGGCCTAGGGATTTAGATTAGCAGCAAAGCACTTATTTAGCATGTATGAGGCCTTGGGTTTGAGGCCCTGGGCTCAGTCTCCAGCACCACAAAAAGAGAGACAATATGTATTATTCAAATTAATATTATCTGTTTCTTTTCACTTTTTATATATAGCTAATGTTTAACATTATTGTTAGGCTCATATCATATTTCTATTAGGACACATTGGTGAAGTTGGTGTGTAAAGCCAAAACACTCGATGGGATTACCAAAAGAATGAGAGGAGTCGCTACAGAAAAAATCTAAAGAGTGGGGCCTTATTGACAAGACAGATAGATACACAGATAGACTCAACTTTTATGAAGCTATTATTTTAAACAAAGAAGCACATTCATAACACCTACAGACATCTATGTAACCTCACCCCACTATATTTCAAGTGAGGTTTAATATGAAAAAACATTTTTTTCTGCCTTGATATTAGAGTGAAATAACAAAAACTCTTGGAAACTTTTTTTAGAAAAAAATATTCCTACAACTGCAGAACTAAAACATTATGTTGTCAGTCAATCCAGAAAAGGTGACAGAAACAGGCATTGGGGCTCAGAAGCCGAGCCTGGGCTTCTGGCTGGTGCACTAGGTGTCAGGCTGGACTGCCTTGCCCGACTGTCTTGCCCCGCTGCCTGTGCTCTTCTCCAGCACTCATTCGCAGCGCTTCCTCAGTATGCCCGCAGCGCGAGCCCAGAGTGCGTGTGTTCTCCTGTGGTGGAGCCTACTGGGGGGCAGACTAGGCCAGGAGCAGGGCCATAGGAGACAGGGGCCCCAGCGAGATCGGGTCCAGCTCAGGGCGGAGTGCCTGCTCCGACCCAGTTCCCAGCCATCACACATGTGAAGGCAGGAAAACAAGGCTGCCCACTCGCGGCCTGCTGCTGATGCTCCTCCAGGGCTGATCTCAGCCTCCAGGCCCTGCTGAGGAGCTATGGGATCCCCAGCAGCCTCAGGGGCAAGAGGCCTGGAAAAATCATTTTAAACAGACTCATTGGAACAAAAAGAGGAACACAAATCTTCTGTTTCATAATATTTAAATACTCTCTAATTCATTTGTTTCAGAAATTATTATTTTGTAGGCTTGATGACATACATCTGTAATCCCAACAGTCTGAGACCTCCAAGGCAGGAGGATTGCAAGTTTGCATCCAACTTAAGCAGTTTAGCAATTTAGCATAAGCCCTGTCTTAAAATTAAAAAAAAAAAAAATAAGAAAAGGGCTGGTAATGAAGCTCCGTGAGAAAGTTTTGGGTTCAACCTCCAGTGCCAAAATACATGCATACATACATACATACTGAAATATGAAAGCAACATCAATACTTTTAGAAGAAAGTCAGATAGTAAGTATTCATGAGGATGCAGAAAAGTGGGAGTTGGGAAATTTTTACAAATTGCATATGCAGGAGTGTACTACCACTTCAAAGAACAATCTACCAGTTTATTAGAGTCAGACTCACAAACCCCACAGAAACTCTCACATATGTGCACAAGAAAACTGCACAAGAATATTGAAGTATGATCTGCCATGATGAAAAATTGAAAATAAACTACAGGTCATTTGGAAAATGGGTAAATGTATTGCATTCACATAATGATATAGTTAGTATATTGCTGCTCAAAGGAGTGAACTAGATGTACATGCATTAATACAGAATACACTAAAAATTATCATGTTGGCTGAGAGTGTAGCTTAGTGGTAGAGTACCTGCTTAGCATGTTTGAAGGCCTGGTTTGAACTCCCAATGGAAAAAATTAACTATGCTGAATTATAATCACAAGTTATTGAATGATATATACAATAATCCATTTATGTAAAAATTTTTAAATGCACACACACAAATATATATATATATATATATATATATATATATATACATACACATATAGTGTTTTAAAACTTTTATTTATTTTTTTTTGAGACAAGGTCTGGCCATATAGCTCAAGCTGGCCTGAAGTCAGAATCCTCCTATTTTAGCTTCCCAAGTGCTGGTATTATAAGCATGAGCTACCATGTATACATTTTATGGATAATTGCATATGTATGAAACCTTGCTTTATATACATAAACTTTAGACAGTGGACTCTTGTGAGACATTGGAGAATAGGATTGAACAAAAAAAATAGGAGACTTCAAATGTGTTAATAATGTTTTATTTCTTGAAACCTGAAGCCCATGTGACAAAATAGTACATATTGCCGAGACTGAGCAGTGGTGAAATAGTTTATTCTCTGCCCTTTCTCTGTGCTTGAAATATTTCACAAATTTGAAACATTTTTTGAAAGAATCAACATAAGTCGGTGATTGATGGAATGTGGGTGTGAAGTCAGGAAAGCAGTCAGGGGTGACTCAGGTTTTGTATCTGATGAAGTCAGTGACCCAAAAAGAGAAGCTCATGAAGTAACTTCATGGACGATGATGAGCTGTATTTCAGACACAATAAGCTTGAGGAGACAGAACAGCCAGCCAGAAATGCACACGCGCAAGTGTGAAGCTGTAGATCAAGACAGGAAATGAGCCTGCAAAGGCATGGTGGCAAAGCAGGCTATTTTCCCTGAGCGCCAATCTTTCCTCCATCCCAGGGGCAAGGTATAAAAGCATTTAACAGAAAACAGATTCTGTAAGGAGAGGATGGACCCGGGGTTGTGGCACCTGCCTGTAATCTTAGCTTTTGAGAGGCTGAAGCAGGAGAATCGCAAATTCCAAGCCAGCTAGGGCAAATTAGTGAATCCTTGTCTCAAAAAAATTTTATAAAGATTAATAAATAAAAGAATTAGGGATGTAGCCCAGTGCTCATAGGTTCAATTCCTGGTACTTTAAAGGAGAAGGAGGAAGAACAGGGGATAGAACTGAGGACCAATAAAGAGGTCAGTTACTGAGGACTGAAGAAAGGTTACTGAGCATGGTGGTAACTTTCACTAAATTGCCCAAGCTGGGCTCAAACTTTCAATTCTCCTGCCCCAGCCTTCCAGAGTGCTGGAATTCCATGCATGTGCCACAAAGCTCAGTTTATCATTAAATACTCTATTTAAATAACCCAAGATGTATTTGCATGCAGAATGTGTGGTAGTGATCTCTTATCAGTCTCAGTTTGAAAAACCAGTTGATCTGACATCATTTAATAAATAGTCTCTCCTCTCTTATCTGTGTCCTATACTAAGTTTCCATGCACAGGTGAGTCTGTTCTGGCTTCTTTGTTCTGCTGCACTGAACCTCCTGTCTATTCACGTGTAATTCTACGATGTCTTCATCATTATTCCTTTATACTAAGTAGTTATATCTGCTATGGAAAGTCCTCCCATATTATCCTTCAAAATGTATTACTTTTGGGCATTTTTCTCTTGGATTTGAATTTTTAAAAAAATACCTATGCCAATTTTGATTGGACTTGAAGGAGCTTTTTAAGTCAATAGAGAAGAAATTGGTATCTTTATTGTACTAACTCTTTCCACCATGAAACATTATATACTTGTTTGTTTGTTTTTCTGTTTTGGTAGTGTTAGGGATGGAATCCAAAGCCTTACATGTCAGCCAAGTGCTCTATCATTGAGTTACAACCCTAGGCCTGTATTTCTTTTAATTTTCACCATGAAGGATTAAAACATCTTTCATTATTTACTAGCTTTTGTCTTGTTTTGAGTGTGATTTGTGTGTATGTGTCTGTGAATTCAACCCAAAAGGCATTGAACTATATCCCTAGCCTCATTTTCAAATTTTGAGACAGGATCTTGCTAAATTACCCAGGCTATTCTTCATTCAGTGCAGGGGTTACAGGTGTGTGCCACCACACCCGGCTACCCTGTTGATTTTCCACACTGACTTTTGTTTCTACTAATCTGTCCGAATTTTCTGTGTTCTAATAGCTTATGTATTATCTCGCATTTTGTAAATACAAAATCACATCATTTGCTAGTAACAATGGTTATGTTTCTTCCTTTTCAATTCTTATATGTCTTTTGTTTTTTACTGCATTAACTAGGACCTCTAGAGCAATGCTCAACAGTAGCAACAATTTCTAAATTAATGAAGATGTTTCTAAAGTATTGCTAATATTAAAGATTACATGTGGTGTAAGTTTTTGCTCGATTCTCTTTATCAACTTGATGTTCCTTTTTATTCTGTTTGTCATAATTTTTATGTGTGTGATGAATTTTATTAGGCAGTTTTATCCTGGATCTATTGATACAGTCACATTTATTTTCTCTTCAATCAATCAAATGATGATGTATACTAAATGATTTTCTAATGTTGAAATATTCTTACACCCTTGGCAGAATTTGTTTTTTCTATACAATATGAAGTTTCCACTTCTGTTTTTCCATCCCCACTGTCATAACTCTATCTGGTCCTTGCTGACTGCAGCAGACTGCAGTTTGCCAGCAGCTAAATCATCCCCATGACTGTTTTTATTGTCTTCCTGCTTTGAAATCCTCATAGGTTCTCCTTGTCTAGAAAACAAAGTGAAAGTATTTTTACCTGATTTCCAAAGGTCTTTCAAATCATTTAAATCATTTCCTCACAGCTTTTCCAACTGTATTTATTTTCTCATTATCCCCCCACAAACCCACCCATCCATTCTGCCATTCCTATTTCCACACCTATGCCTTGCCTCATAGCGAGCACAATTTTAAGCCATAGGAGATACTGTAGAATCTTTGTTTTTGTTTGTTTGTTTGTTTAATAGGTACTGGAGATTGAACTCACGACCGCCTGCTTGCAAGGCAGGTGCTTATGCCGCTGAGCTAAATCCCCAGCCCCGATACTGTTCAATCTTTAACCCTTTCAGTTTTCTAAAACCAAAGAGAATCATGGAAGTGTTTTAAGACGAATACTAGTATAATCCAATTTACTGTTTTTTGAAGATTATAATGGCTGTTTTGTAGCGAATGGCTTGTAGGAGACCAAGAAAGGAGGCAAGAAAATGAGTAAGGAGGCAATTACAGGAGCTCAGGAGAGAGACGGTGGTATCTAGGACTACAATGGGAGCAGTAAAGATGAAATTTATTTTTTTACTGAGAATAAAACTCAGGACCTCATGCTTGCCAGGCAGGTGTTGTGCTACTGAGCTGTATCCCTGTCCCCAAGATGAAATGTTTAGACAAGTTTGAGAGATAGATAGATGATAGATAGATAGACAACCCTTTATAAATAGGTATATATTTCATTTCAAATATGTATGTTCAGTTCATTTAGCTGAAAGGATGACAAGGTGAATAAATGGTCCTAAATTTTTTATCAAGGAAGAAAGGGATTTAAAGTAGAAACTTCAGCACAGTGATACAATATTTTCAAGCCTCTATGAATATTAAATAAAAATTATCCAATTAGCCAAATACATAAGCTATGATTACGATACTATATTTGGTGAATGTTTAAGTTTTTAAAAATTTATTACAGTCAGAGACATATTACCATTAGCATCCTTCAAAACACTCCTTCTTATTTTGAACACTTTTATCCCACATTCTCGACACTTTCTGAAGCAGCTCTGGTAGTCCTCTTTCCTCAGTGTCTTTATAGGGTATGATCAAAAGTACAATGAATGCTGCTACCAAGTGGCATCCAAAATAAAGAAAGGTTCATAAGAACATTATGGTGTACCCCATCCACCTTATTCATAGGATCTGGCACCATGTAATTTCTGACTCTTTCATAAAGTCAAAATGACCATGGAATATATGTATAGACAGCCATGACAGCACACTAAACATATTCACAAGAGAGCACTTCCAGAACTGCTTCTGAAAGTGGCAAGAATGATGGGTAAGTGTGTTGGAAGTGAGGGGGAGTATTTTGAGGGGAAAAAATAGCAATGTGCCTTTTAGAATAATAAAATTTAAGAATTCACCACATTTTTTTCTCACTGCCTATAGAGGTCATATATTAACCACTCTATACAGATATACTGTACAATATCCAATGACAGAAAATAAATTTCTCTTCTTATTAGACATATGAACCTCAACA